AGCGTGCATAGCTTAGCGTGCATAGCTTAGCGTGCATAGCTTAGCGTGCATAGCTTAGCGTGCATAGCTTAGCGTGCATAGCTTAGCGTGCATAGGCACACTGGATTGGATGTCTATCACGTGTGTACACGCACACACACACACACACACACACACAGCCTCAGGAGTTGAAGATAGATTGAATATAAAGGGATGGGCAAATGGAATAATCCCATGATCTAGTTCTCTCTCTGCCTGTCTGTCTCTCTCTCAGCTATATTGGGGCTTGAATTTGGGGCGTGGGTCTGTCCCTAAGCATGTGTCTTCTGAAAACGTCACATAAAAGTAAAAGAAAAGACACTGCTTTTAACTTCTTTGCTAAGCTTATCAAAGCAGCACAGCATTTCTTCATTAATGAAGACAACAAAGGTTGTTGGGGTGACACCTGTCTGTAATCCCAGAGTCTGGGAAGCTGTAAAGCAAGAGAATTGAAAGTTAGAGGCCAGCCACAACCTCCTAGTATCTCAAAGTAAATTTTAAAAATAATAAAAAGATAATGAACTTAAAAGGTAGATTTGCTTAATTTTATACTGGTACCAAGGCTAGAAATCTGAGTTTTAGTCTTGCATGCCTTGCTTGTTCACGGCTGGCACTCTTGTTACCTGAGCCATACTAATGAACAGAATGAACACCCTAGCTTGTGTGTGTGTGTATGTTGGTCATGAGGCTTGAATTCAGGGCCTGGGTGCTGTCCCTGAATTGCTTTGTGCTCAAGACTAGTGTTCTACCACTTGGGCCATACGTAGTGCCACTTCCCATTTTGGGGGACTTTTCTGCTTGGGCTGGCTTTGAATGTGATCCTCAGATCTCAGCCTTCTGAGTAGCTAGGATGACAACGTGAGCCACTGGCACCTGGCCATTTTGTTGTTGTTGTTGTTGAGGGATCGAACCCAGGGCCTCATGCATGCTATGCAAACACTATGCCACTAAGCCACATTCCCAGCTCCCAGCCTAGCTTTGTTGCTGGTTATTTTGTAGGTTGTTAAGCTGCAGTTGCTTTTTGTCTCTGAGAACTCTCCAAGGCTTCTCAAGATGGCGGCTCTGTGATATGTGTGCACACTGGGTGTCCTAATTCCTCCAGTCCAGCCTCTCAAGCAGATGTCACTTCTTTCCTGTTCCCTCCGCCATTTATAAGGTTTGCAGTTTGTGTGCTTTTCCTAAAGCTGGATTTGTTGATATCTTGGGATTGTCTGATTTTCCCTGGTGTAAATCAGTCAGAAACCCAGTGTTGTCACCAGAAGTGGAGAACATGATGGCCACCAAGACTAAGGGGCTGTCCAGACCTGACCTGTCTTTCTCTCTGCCAGGCAGGGACTTGCTTCCTGAATAGAGACTTAGAACAGGGTTTTCATCCATCTAAATGTAATGGCATCTCCATTTCACAGTGGGGATGAGATGCAAGCAGCCCCAAGACTTCCTAGGAAGGCACTTTCTTAAACAGAATTATGACACAAATGCTTGCTTTTGTGACTCTCCTTTCATAAGTTGATAGCTAATCATCTGTGGAGTTTAAACTTTTTTTTTTCTTTTCTTTTTGTTGGTCATAGAGCTTGAACACTGTCCCTGAGCACTTTTGCTCAAGGCTAGCATTCTACCACTTTAAGCCACAGCACCATATCAGGTTTTCTGTTGAGTAATTAGAGATAGGAGTCTCATGAACTTTCCTGCCCAGGCTGGCTTCAAACCCTGATCCTCAGATCTCAGCTTCCAGAGTAGCTAGGATTATAGGCACAAGCCACCAGTGTCAGGCTATTTTTCTAAATTCTTTATTGCAGAGGCTTGAAAACAGGAAAACAGTGTAAGATAATGAACACTTGGTTCCCATCATCCAGCTTCCACTATATAACAACCACTTCCCCCACTTCCTGCATTATTTTGAAGACAATTCCACACATCCTGAGGGCCTGTAAAGATATTTTATCTTATCTAGTCCTACTGGTTTCTACGTCTGGTTGTTATTCTTGTTCTCTGTTGACTTTAGGTATTTCAGCTCCCAGATTAAAATGGCTCCCTGAGCAGTTTTAACTTCTTGGGGAATCTCCATAACTTTTGACAGCAATCAGCATTATCACCAGGCAGAGCCCTTCCTACTTATTTTACCTTTTTTTTTTTTTTCTTTTGCCGATGGGGATTGAACTTGGACTGGGAGCTGTCCCTCAGCTCTTCAGCTCGAGGATAGCGCTCTTCCACTTGAGCCACAGCACTGCTTCAGGTTTTGTTTATTGGCTATAACAGTCTCACAGACTTTCCTTCCCCGGGCTAGCTCTGAACCAAGATCCTCAAGTCTCAGCCTCCTGAGTAGCTAGGATTATAGGCATGAGCCAGCATGCCTGGCTACCTTTTTTTTAATTACCTGGGAACATCATTGCGAAGCCAACCCGTCCAGCCAGGAGCTCAGTGCAGACATCATGGTCTCTGGGGGAGTTGTCAAGAATCAACAGACCAAGCAGACTCCCCAGTGCAGGATGAGGGGAAAGGACCCACAAACATTGCTTACTAGAATGTAAATGTCTGGAGTTGCCATGGAAAAGCCTAATGGAGGTCCTTAAAAACCAAAGATCAGGGTGTGAAAGGGTGTGTGTGTGTGTGTGTAAACGTGTGGAGACTGAACAGTGGGATCCCACCCTGCACAACTGAGACAAGCATAAAACAAAACAAAATCAACTTCGGTTTCTAAAGGGTGAACCGACCCTGGTTTCATCTACTGCGGGCTCCCAACGCCCTGCATGTTAGCCCTTCTGAAATTCTGCCTTCTTTAAAAAGTGAAAAAAACCTGGGAAATGGTGTCTTCCTTCAGCCGTGTGAATCTCAGCTGGATGGTAGAAAAGAGCAGGAGTCCAGGACTTCATTCTGGCTTTGCTGGAGGGGGACTGAACCTCAGGGCTCCCACGCTAAGCACGGGACCCACAGCCCTTCAAGGGTTCCAGGATCCTTGGTTTTGCATCTTCTTATCATAATAGATTCCGGCCACAAGAGGGAGCTGAGCTGTGAAAACATTCACAGCTTGTTTTGGAGAGCGCCTGTGACTGGCCCGAGAGGAACTCCAGTGTTCGCAGGGAGGGAGTCTTGTACAAGATAATGGGTTTCATGTAACAGCTTCATATTCATCTTTCATTATCCTCTCTTGTTTCTTCCCCTTTCTCCCTGCTGAGGTCTCCTTCTACTTTCATGTCTTTTTTTTTAAATGAAGTCTATGGAAGAGAGAAGATAAATGCATTTGTCTCACTGAACATGACAATGATTTCCAGTTCTACCCTTCTTCCTGTGAGTGACATGGTTTTGCCTTTTTAAAAAAAAACAACCAAAAAACCCCTCTTGTTTACATTTCAATTCTGCTCTTTTCTAACGACTGAATAAAACTCCATTTTGTACACATGCAACATTTATCCAGTGACGGGCATCCAAACTGATTCCATGACTTGTTAAAGTTGGATGTTGGGGTCTCTACTGTGTGTGGGCTCCTCTCCTTTCAGATACCTGCCCACGAGTGGTATTTGATGGGTCATAAGGGAGATCTAATGTTTTTTTTTTTTTGTCGGTCATGGGGCTTGAACTCTGGGCCTGGGTGCTGTCCTTCAGCTCTTCAGCTCAAGGCGAGCGCTCTACCACTTGAGCTACAGCGCCACTTCCGTTTTTCTGGTGGTTTATTGGAGATAGGAGTCTCATGGTCTCTCCTGCCCGGGCTGGCTTTGAACTGCGATCCTCAGATCTCAGCCTCCTGAGTAGCTAGGATTACAGGCGTGAGCCACCAGCGCCCGGCTGTTTTGTTTTTTTTGTACTAGTCCTAGGGCTTACACTGAACAATATCCCTGAGCTTTTGTGTTCAAGGCTGGTACTCCACCATTTGAGCCACAGCTCTGCTTCTGGCCTTTTGATGGTTATTGGAGGTAAGAGTCTCATTCACTTTCCTGTCTGCCGTGGGTCCACACCACGATCCTCAGCTCTTAGCTTCCTGAGTAGCTAGGATGAGAGGCGTGAGCCCGGGTGCTGGGCTTCTAGCTAGGCCTCTTCACCAAGCCAGGCTCGCCTCTACCACTTGAGCCGTTCTAGTTCCCTTGACCCTTTGCTTTTGATTGAGTTTTAGATTCTTAAAATTATTTCAACTCAGTTTATACATACTGCTCTTCTTGTGAGGAAGAATATTAGTAGTTTGGCCTAATCTGGTCATATACAGATCTATGTTGGGCAGCAGGGGAACTGCCTCATACCAGTTTGGAATAAGTCCCTTGCTTCAGTTCCTTTCCTTCCATGGAAGGAAGACTGATAAGATGGAGGACTGGGTAACAGGAGGTGAAACGAACCGGAGGTCTGGAGGCCCCTGAGGCTCCCGTCATCGGCTGGCTCTTCTGACAAAGACCCCAAAGCTGGTGTCGCCAGAGCTGGACTGCTGCCTGACACAGGCCTTGAGCAAGCCACGCTTTCACCTGTCCTCACTGCTTTACATTCTGCAGAGTCTATAGAGGAAGACTGGGGGTGGATGAGGACTGATTTGGGCAGGAATAAGACTTGGCTCAGATGTTCTCTAAGATCACCAACATTTTACCCCACTGTTTTACCAAGTCTCTGTTTTCTTTGACTCTTGCATTTAAGTTCTTATCTTTCAGAATTTCCTTAACATGATGATCTTCACCATTCGATGTGGCAAATGACCTAGATTCATGTCACATCTCCCTGGCTCTTAAAACAATGCCTTGAACATGGTGAATAGCTAGGAATATTTTTAAACAGCTTACAATGTCAAGTGCGTTTAGTAATTTAAATATACACATAAACGTGTTGTAAGAAAAGCATGACTACTTTTCTTTCCTCATTGGCTAAAGAAGACAACCACAAATGATTGTATATTTTGTTTAATACTTGCATTGTTTCTAAAGCGCGATTATAGCAATCTTTAAATTGACTTTTCATTACAAATATTTGTCAAGTTTTGTTTCAGAAACATTTTTCCTACTCTCTTGCACATGCGCCCAGACATACTACAAAAAAATTCATTCGTAACACAGGAAGGGCAAACATGACTCATGTAAACATCTTCCATAGTTTCCCATAATTTAAAAAAAGCATAGAATTCTTAGATATTGAATAAGGCTCATAGATTTAGTTCAGATTTCACAAAAGACCCGAAGTGCTTGGTAACTCGAAGGGGTTAACTTCTGGTTGAGATCAATGCTGACTGTGTACACCTGCGTCCCACTCCACGGACACACCTCACAACCCAATAAATGCATTTCAGGATCAGAGGAGAACAGAGAAAACCCAAGAGGAGAAACATTTGAGATAGGGAGCCAGGATCATGGACGTAACTTTCTCATAAGATCAGCAAGCACACTGTAGTCCCTGTAGTTTTCCCATCCAGGAATCAGGATGAATTAGAGTAACCCAAAATGTAACCAACATAGGTAGGGTTGGGTACAGTGGCAGATGTGTTCATATTGCTAGCATACACAGTGAAAATTTGTCATTTGATGTTTTATTATGTCCAGGACTAAAGAGGGAAAATCCCCACTCAGTCAAATTCATGATAGAGGAGGTTATTATTAATTTGTTCCTCTTTTTTTTTTCCCCCTGTTGCTCAAGGTTAGGCATTGGGAGGTATGTCTTAGGAGGTGGGTGACGGGTCTTGATGTTAAAATGACCTCTAAGGGCTGCATGCAAGGTCACAGATAGGAAGCCGGGGTTCTGCAATCCAGGACGTGTCTCTCTCTCTGGCTAGAAGTTGGGTCTGAGGTTCATAGTCTTCCAGAGCTGAGACAGGAAATGGACTGTGCTGAGAATGGGGTCTCTGCCCAGGGGGAGGGGGAGCTGCCCCCCTTTCCAGGAGACAGAGATGGCTGGAGAATGACACCCCGCCCGGGTCTGTGCCCTGCAGCAGCGCCCTGACCTTGGGCCCTGACAGTGAGGGAGTGCGGGGATGGTGGCTGGGGAACGGAGGTCGCGGCCAAGTCTGGCTTCGGATTCTGTTGCCCTGCAAAGAAATTGTGCTCCGGATAACTGCACCGTGTCTCTAATGCCTCGGATTCGCTCTCGGGCCCCAGGCCCTCGGGAATCCCTAAAAGGTAAACACACTTCCGTTAGCACCGAACTTACCACCCGCAAGCAAGCGGCTGAGGCACTGGGAGCCTACGGGGCCCCTTGACACACACAGCGCCCAGAGGAATCTGTAGGCTTTGAGTTTAAAAATCAAAATTGATCTGCATTATATCTCAGTAGACTCAGAATTCTCACCAAAAAAAAATTTTTTTGTCATGTGTTTAAATAGCACTGGAATAAGTCAACTTCATTTAAATATAGTCATTCAACCATGAAAATATTTCATACAAACATCTATTTACATACAAACACATTAAAATTTGTGAAAGGAGTTTCTACCCCCTGTGGTTGTATGGCTTGAAATAGTTTCATTGCTTTGAATATAGACGCACACATTTGGCAAAAGAAAACTTGTAAAATTTAGTATTTTAAAAACAAGAACAAAAACAAAACAAAACCCCTGGCATGGAGGTTCCTAATTCCTGAAGGGAAAAAGTCAAGGAAAAAAAACCCAAATCCCCCAAACCCCAAACAAAATCAGCCCCCAAACACAATCTATCAAGATACCTCAAGTACATGTAAATTTAATATATTTTGTCAACCTCTGATCTGTGGCAAAGAAGCATGACAACTACCTGTTTGGCGAGGTAGTTTTGCTTGTTTTTCTAAAAGACAAGACGTCTGAATTCTATATCACTATGAAGACAGAATTGGAGGCAGCTCCTTGAAACAAAACAGAAAACCTATCTATCTTCTTAGAAGAATGCGTTTTTCGGTGAGTGATTAAGTTTTCTATGCCTAGTAAATGAAAGGTACTAAAAGTGCCACACGTTGACTGTCCACAAAACCCTTGAGCCTGCTGTTTGGGCATGTTTGTGTTTTGACTTGCTGGGGTGAAAGCCAGGCCAGGTACCACACTGGCACCAGCGACGCACGTTTACTATATCACTTAAATATTGCAGATGACATTTGGCTGTGCTGGCTTTTTTGGGGAGAAGGGGGGAGGACTGTTGGTGAGAAGGAAATAGTTTTTCAAGTATAATGAACCCCAGAGTGCAAAGAGGTTGAACTCTAGTCTCACATGGGTTCAAAAAGATCTTGAAAAACGACTTTCCTTCTTGGATGCTCAGAGAGATCCAGGGGGAGGCAGGGTCACCTAAAAACGGGGTCTGCAAACCCCTCCAGTCCTTCTTGTGTGTGGTCTGTGGATGTCCTCCATGCTGGCTGGAAGCACCATCTTTCCGGTGACTTCTGGGAGTCTGAACCAGTGCCTGCTGGGACCTGCTCCTAACTAATACAGGATAGTATCTTTTCACAGGAAAGATGCGACGGGAAGGTCTGCTCACACGGGAGGGGATGCAGGCGGCTCTGAGGGAGCCCCACGGAAGACATGCACGTGCAGGCGCCCGCTGCTCTGGGGAGTGCGAGGTGCCTCTGCATTCCCTGGGTGCCTGGGCTCGGAGGTGTTTTTTGTTGGGATGACAATGCCATTGCAGTGACCAGATGCAGCTGCTTCCTACCCATTTCCTTCCACAGCCTCTGTGTGTGTGTGTGTGTGTGTGTGTGTGTGTAGAGAGAGAGAGAGAGAGAGAGAGAGGTGGAATAATTCATCAAGGGCTTTTCTGCTTTAGGTCAAAACACTCTTCCACAGCAGTTAATTCCCACCCTATTTCTCTATCTAGAACTGAACTTCCAGCCTCTCTCTCTTGTGATGAAGCTGTGGGGGGGGGTTGGGGGAGGGAACAGCAGTTAGCGATGTATGTGAATGTGTGTAAGTCTTTATGTGAGAGAGAAACAGAGCAGGAAGGAAGTAGGAAAGACAGTGGACAGATGTGTGTGGGAAAGCAGGAGGGCAGAGGCAGACAGACAGACAAGAGCACAGGAGTCAGTGCCGAGGGACAGGGGCCCAGGGGAGGGTCTGAAAGACATGCAGAGAGCCAGCCAGGGAGAGGCCGGCATGGCAGGAGAGGAGCTCAGAGCCCAGACAATGGGGTGCTGGGCTGGGCTGGTTCCCCGCGGACCCCCAGGCTCCGGCTCTCCTCTGAGTGCAGAAGAGGAAAGGGATTGCTGGAAGACACCGGGAGTGTGCGGAGTGTCCCGGGGAAGCCGGGGGGAGCTTGGCTGGGTGTGTGGTTCCCAAGGGGTCTGAGGGTCGCTGGGTTCAAACCAGCATGCCGTCCTGTGGCGTCACGGGAGTGCTAGCATTCAGTGTCACCAGCGGGCCATCACTCAGTGTCTACTCACTGGCTAAATCTCCACTTACAATTCATCCACCCCTTTTATGGAAACATTCAGCTTGGCTCCAATGGGAGAGTGCAGTAGCTCTTTAGGACAGAAACCGGGCCCTGCTGGAGTCACGAGCAGCCGGTGTGGTCCAGGAAAGCCGGCCGGCCGCAGCCTGTGGTTGGAGGGACTGGCAGCTGCTCCCGCCCCCCTGCCTCGCTCCCTGCCCAGCTGACTAGGTCCGATGAGAGCCAACTTTCTCCTGGAGACAGCCATCCACTTCTGCCACGTTTCCATGAATCCTCATGTGTCAAACACCCATGAGAACACACAGCGACACGTTTCAGTGGACTATCATATATGAACACACACAAGGCTCCGGCTCATCCGACAGAGGGTCTCTTTCCAAAGAACAGAAGTAACCCTGTCTTCCTAACTCTTGATGTGAAACCTCTACTCAGTTCCTTTCATGGGACATCTTTCTGGAAATCCTGACCAGCTGCTCTCCCGGGAAGAGCTTAAGCTTCCAAACAGATCCAAGTGCTTCTCTTAGAAACTACCACAGCTGCAGTGCCAAGAGGCCTGGGACAGACGGGAGGTCGGCGGTACTGGGCTTGTCCTGAGGGCTGCGTCCTCCATCCGGGGACTGCCTGACTGGTCACGTGAGCAGCTGGCCAGAGGAGGGGGCAAGGAGGACGGAGCACTTTCAGGAGTGCCTCTCTATGACCCCAGCGTGACCCAGCCGACAGCCAACTTCCTGCTGTCCAAGGGCTTACACTTCCTCTACACCCGCAGCATCCCTCAGCTGGCTTGCTAACACCTCGAAACTTGCAAGGACTCAGCTCTCAAGACTGAACTACTCAGGAGAGGCAGAGCAGTGGCTCACAGGGCCACACCCTCCCGCCCCCCCCTTCAGTCCCCTTCCTGCCCCTCCTCCAAGCAGCAGGAGCAGACAGCGCATGGGCATGTGCTGAGTGTACTTAGGAAAGCCCCAACTCTCAGAATTCATTCGGAGCCTTTCCAGTAAGTCACAGATCTAATGTGCTGTCCTAAAACACAAGGGTTTTCCTCCTGCTTTCTGAAGTTGGGATCTCACCGGGCTTGCGAAATGGCCAAAATGCTACGGATGCTGTTGCTTTGAAACTGCACAGGTGTGAACTCAGCTAAGGATGCTTCGAAGCAATAAGAGCTTTGAAATGACCATGATGAACAGTTTTTAGCATTAAGGTTTGCTTTGTAACTGGCAGTCAGTATGTCTGCCTTCATTGTACTGATTTCAAAGAAATTCTTGAATTCTAATGCAGAATTCAAGGTTTGCTATTTGACTTTTTAATTCAATGACATGTCACAAGCCAGACTGCGCTAGGTTTATGTACATGTAATGTGCATCCAAGGAGAAAGAAACTTACTAACATTATCAAAGATACTGGAAAAGTGCCACAATTGCTGCCTAGAAATACTAATTGTCCTTTCTTCCTTCTTAAAATATACATATATATATATATGTGTGTGTGTGTGTGTGTGTGTGTGTATATATATATATATGTATATATATAAAACTCTTCCATAACTTAATACAAACAAAGTAAATTCATTTCTTCTCACATCTGAAAGCAAAGATATCTTTGTTTACATGCGAGAATAATAATTCTATAATAATACCCTGGCCCTAAGAGCCAGTACTTGATATTAGGACATAAGACTGAAATGATGGTATAGAAACAAAATCAGAGATGCAAGCCCACTCAGGAGTTTTCTCATTCCAGGATATCTAGGCTAGGGAGTGGGTCCCAGCAGAAAGTGGCTTCTTTCTGCCTACTAGAGGGGGAAAAAATCCCCAAACCAAAGCCATTCTAGTATAAAATACAGATCAAAAGTTAAAAGGCAAACTACCATGTTTAGAGAGTGAAGATCTAATCATTTTCTCTACCCTCCATAGGGCACATGTGCAAATGTGTCACACATTTTACACTGGCCATAGGAAAAAAAAAAACATGGAAAAACCACCAACAACAGGACCGAACACATACCCCTTTCTTCCTTTAGTCTGATTATTTGGCATCTCGAAAGGTGGTCCAGATTTAGACCTGAACCGCTCAAGAGCATCATGCTGTCTTACATCAAGTGCTCCCAATACCTCTCAGCGGGACACCGTGGTGAAGCTACCTAATGTTAAGTCGGGTATGAGTAATACAGTCAAACCTAGTTAGTATGTGCGCGAGAAGTGGTGCTAACTCGGGAGGAGGGGCTGAAGTCACAGCGAGAGCCATCCCCGGTCGTCCTGTTGCGGATGAAAGGAGTGCATAGATCCAAGTCTCTTCCGGGCGTCTGGCCCCAAGGCCCGGCTGCTCACTTCTGCTGGGTGGCCTGGAAGGCCTTTAGCCCCACCTGGTACCACTCGGGGGCTTCGGGCCCGCTCTTCCCCGGGGGGCTGTGCTCATAGCCATAGGCCACGGTGAGCTCCTCCTCCGCCTCTACAGCTCGCAGGGTGCGGATGCATTTGATGGGCCCAAACCGCGGGTGGACAAACCTGGATATCAAGATGCACGAGGTCACGGGCCAGCAGCTCTGGCCTCAGCCGGGAGCACCCTGCACACAGCACCTCAGCCCCACCCGGCTGCCATGTTAGAATTTAGATTTAACAACACCCGGCCAGGCACTGGCCTGCTCACGGTCTAGATGCACCACTCTGCCTTCCTTTCCCAGCGTATCTGACATTCTGTCTCTCTCCTTTTCCTCCCTCCCTCCCTTTCTTTCTGGGCTGGTACTGGGGCCTGGGTGCTAAAGGCTAGTGCTCTACTGCTTGAGCCACAGCTCCACTTCCAGCTTTTTGGTGCTTAATTGGAGACAAGAGTTCTCACAGACTTGCTTGGCTGGGCTGGCTTCAAACCTCGATCCTCCCATCTCAGCCTCCTGAGTAGCTAGGATGACAGGTATCAGCCACCAGTACCTGGCCATTCTACTCTTTCTGGATTGGAGCTTTCAGCCCACTGCGGAGGCCTATGGCCTGGCTTCTTGGCACATCCTGGGGGAGCAGCCATCTCTGAGACCTAGGAACACCTTTCCACGCCCTTCCTAACCCCGAGTCCCGAGGCATCGACCGGCCCTGCTGCCGCCGAGCGTCACTTACGTGTCGTAGATGCAGTTTGGAGTGAAGGAGTGGTTTGCCTTGTGGCCCAGGGAGGCACAGTACCTGGTCACGTGGTTGTAGGGCTCAGGCACGTCGATGACCGTCTCCTCGTCCAGAGAGAGGGTGTTGCTGTTGAGAGCCCAGTCCCTGCTGTCCACCTGCGGACCCAAGGCACGTGTCGGGGGCCACCCGCTCCCAGAGGGGCAGAGGCATCAACTCATTCACCCGCCGCTTCACGGCGCCCACCCGCCTGCCCTCCGCACACGGATGGAGTAACGCACCGCACAGCTACTAGCTGGGCTTCCTTATTCTACCAGAAAAGGGAGGCTCCTATTCCTTATAAGGACACACAAAAATGCAAGCAAAGAGCTCCGTCTAAAAGGAGACGCAGAAGAGGCGAAAGGAGAGAACAGAAATGGAGGCAGGAATGCGCAGGGGGCCGTGTGTACTCCAGGAAAAGGCCTGTCCCAGCCCCAGGGCTTCCCCCGTGAGCAGCTGCCAGCCACCAAGACAGTGGACGTGCCCACCCATGAGCAGACCCATCATCCACAACCCTCCAACACACCTGGTGAGGCCTCTCAGCTGGGCACCGGTGGTTTACACCTGTTACCCAAGCTAAAGAGTCTGAGATCTGAAGATCAAGGTTCAAAACCATCCCAGGCAGAAAAGTCCATAAGACTTATCTCTAATTAACCAGCAAAAAGCTGGAGGTGTCAGCTCAAGTGATAAGAGTGTCAAGCCTGAAAGGAAACTTGTTCGAAATACTCACCTCTTGGTGTGTAATTCGGACTCCATTATAAAAAGACATAACAGTGTTAGGACCCACGGGTATCTTGGAAAACAATCCTTCTCCTGCACTGGAAATGAGGGACTCGGCCACATACACCCTGAGAAGAAGAAGAAGGGGGGAAAAAACCAAATCATGATCGCTTTGAATCCAAAACTAGGACCAGTTCCTTATTATCCAATAAAGGAAGGAAGGCAAGAAGAAATCAATAAACCACAATACAGAAGCACTGAGAGCAGAAGAAATGGGTATGAAATTAACTCATAAAGCTACTCAGCAGAGGAGATAAGGATATCTGTATTTTTGTTTCAGCTCAGAGTTAATTAACCAAGTTTGTCAAAGCCAGGCAGTAGGAAAGACCTGCTTTAAATACCAAGATGAATATTTTATATGAATGAGTGACAGCTAAGAGGATAGAGCCAATAAAATGACTCCAAGCAGAGGGTGGCTAACTAGTCAAAACTGGCTTCTGCTCATTTTTGTAAATAAAGTTTTATTGGTACATGGCTATGACCATTTGGTTCACACTGGGTCTTCCTGCTGCAGCACTAACTACAAAGGCAGAGCGGAGTAGCTGCATTAGAGACCCCAGGGCCTACAGAGCCTGAAGTATTTACCCGGTAGCTCGTCACACACAGGCTAGCAAGAAGAGAAAACCCGTCGTGGCTGTGGAGTCGCATTTAGTAACAGCACCCACATTCCACCTCCCGCTCTCAGCTCTGAGACAGCCAGGCTGCAATGACCGTGTTTAGTGGAATGTATGTTTCCTTCCTGGACTGCACATCTTTGACTGGTTCCAATTCCGTTCCTGCTCTGCAATAGGATTGCACATCCCGACCCCGTGGTGAGTCCTGAGCTGCCGCAGCCCACCGTCTGCCCCGGCATGCTTGGTCTGTGTGCTCTGCCTTGTCAGAACAGCGACCGGAGGCTGCCTGCATGCCGACCTCAGGTGTTCGGGAACATGACAAGTTCCCATCCACCGCCTGCGGCTTCCACCCACTCCCGGAGACTCTGCTTCTCCTGTCTGAGGCTTGGAATAAACACACAGGAGACAGAGCTGACCCCAACTTGAGGCCTGGGGTCCAGCCCCGTCCAGCTGGGCCTCATGGATCCCTAGAAAAGGTCTGGCTGAATCTACTGAGCTCTGGGTGTCAAAGAAAACATTTGCCTCCAGAAACAGCTTGGGAATATCAGGAGGCAGGACTGTCACCATAAAAACCGACAAGACTGGCGCCTACACTTTCAGTGCTGTTATGTTTTGGGGTGAATGCAGAGCCCCAACCCTCCCTGCTTTGTAGTGGGGCCACAGCCTCCAGCCGTCTGTTTTCCTGCCCGTGACACTGTGCGGGCCCTGTGTGAGCAGGCAAAGAGAAAAGCATCCTGAGGTGGGGTCTTTACTAAGAAGCAGACGGGTCTGGAGAGGATCTCGGGATCTTAGGGAAAGCCCCTTCATGCATGCAGGGCTAGAGAACAAGCGTCTGGAAAGCGTCTCCTACATAAGGCAAGAAGCGGAAATAGAACTCGACCTTCTGAGTGCGCTTCTAGAGCCAGGGCCTCGTCTTGTGTGAAGTGGAATGCTTTCTTACTTCTCATTGTTTGTTTCTAAAGTCCTGTTTCCTCAGAATGGACAAGCCCTGTGAATTGGGCTTAGGAGAAAAGGAGGTGTTCTGGGGTGCAGGGCATACTTCAGGAGGGTGTGATGCCCCCCAGAGGGCCGTGCGGCTGTCAGCACCAACAGAGGCACCAGAACCCTAGGGAATAGCCACTGGGGGGCAGGGGTCACAGCTGCCTGACCCAGGGCCTCTTACCTCAAGCATTTTATTTATTTATTTACTTCGGTGCAGGTACTGGGGCTTGAACCAAGAGCCTGGGCGCTGTCCCTAAGCTTTTTGTGTCCAAGGCTAGTGCTCTACCATTTGAGCCACAACTCCACTTCTGGCTTTTGTGGTTAATCAGAGATGAGTCTCTCAGACCTTTCCTTCCTCGGCTGGTTTCGGACCTCGATCCTCAAGATCTCAGCCTCCTGAATACACTAGGATTGCAGGTGTGAGCTACCAGCACCTGGCTTTCCCTAGAGCTTTTACCGCATGACGAACTCATGAGAGGATCTGGGCTTTACAAGGGGCCACCACCCCTGCCCTCCCCTGCCATGAGCACCCCATCCAAACGGGAGGGAGCAAAGCGCCCGGCCTCACCATACCCAAGTCGTTATCTGGAGGATTTGCAAGGGAAAAGGATGCTTCCCAGGAAGGGTGGGCGCTGAGCTCCCACCACAGGGCTTTTAACCTCAGGAAACCCGCAAGCAAGGCGGGAAGGAAAGCCTTACCTCTCCGATTCGTAAGGGTCTGGAAGAAGAGCATTGGTGGAGATGCAGGATGAAGTCGACTTATCAAAGTGGTACACAGAACCTAAAAACAAACGGAATGTCAGTGAGCTGGGACCCTTCTCTGCTCCCAGGCCAGGAAGAGCTAATCAACTACCGATGTTGTTCCCCTCAGCCCAGGGAGGACAGCGAGTTGGGGAGGAGGTGCTCATCAGTGTCCCCCCCGCCCACTGTCATTTTCAAAACAACCCATAACCACCAGATAGATCTCTTAAAATCTCTATCTGCTTTTTTCTTTTTGGAAGGGAAGCTGACCTTTATTGAGCGCTCACAGGTGCACACGGCCGGCCTTGTACAAGGAGTTTCCACCACAGTATCCACCCACTCCTCACACCAGCCCTGTGAGGCAGGTATTACCCCCATGTTTGTCAGGTGAGGAGGAGGAGCCTCAAAAGAATTAGGCAGTTTGTCCAAGGGCAGAGGACTAGGAAAACACCAAGCCAAGACCGAGCAGCTAAGTCTCAGACTCACTCTCCTGCCTGCTCCTAAACCTCCTACCCCTGCACTGCCCACCTTGGGGGGAGGCGATCAGTTCCTGTTTGCTTTTAAATCTTCATGCAAGCAACTTAAACATTGCTTGAGTGCTGAAATGGTTTGTGTTTTTGGTCGGTCGTGGGGCTTGAACTCTGGGCCTGGCGCTGGGTGCTCAGCCTGAAATGCTTTTTAAATCATGAAAATGGTTTGCTATGGCATGTTCAAATTTCTTTGGTCAGACCAAATTGGAAAATAGTTCTGTTTCTTTGTGGTTTTCTTCATACCAGATCATCTGTGAAATCTAACACCAGAGCCCTGGCAGCTGGCTTCAACCTCACCAGAATCAAGGAGGACAGCACTCTAATAAAGCCTAGCAAAGTCATTTCACTTCTGAGATGATAGTTCAGAACCTAACCAGAAATGTATTCCAGAAACTAAGGCCTGCAGCTCTCCTGGGATTGCCTTTAGCCCCCCAAAACCCTCCTCTAGTATAATGAAGACACGAGGTGTCCCGAGAGCCCATCAGGAGAGAAACAGGATCGAGAACTGAAGAGCTTACTCCTGCAAAGTCAATTATTATCATTAATAATCCCATTATGCAATTCTTTAGTGGTTACCCATAGTTACCAGGCCTGCCTGCCTGCCTGCCTGCCTTCCTTCCTTCCTTCCTTTTTTTTGGTACAACCCAAACCAAAAATAATACTTCAAACTATAAATTAGAAAACAATCCAATCCAATCCAATGTCTAAGAACCTGACCTTTTAGTACATATATATATATATATTTTTTCATGCTGGTCATGGGGCTTGAACTCAGGACCTAGGTGCTGTCCCTGAGCTTTTTTGCCCAAGGCTGATGTTTTTCCACTTGAGCCACAGCTCCACATTCAGCTTTTTGGTGGTTAATTCAAGATAAGAGTCCCACAGACTTTCCTGCCTGGGATGGCTTTGAACCTTGGTCCTCAGATCTCAGGCTCCTGAGTAGCTAGGATTGTAGGTGTGGGCCACTGATATCCAGTTCATTTAAATATTTTGAAGAGGGGATTTAAGTCAGGGAATTGCTCATACAGGAGACAGAAGAGCAAGGAACCATGAGGAACCCAGAAATGGGCAGAAGTTGAGGCTGTGTGGGGTAGCAGGCGCTGTCTGGGATTCTACTGGGAGTCAGGCAGGAGGCGGCAGCCAGGCCGCTGGCAAGATGTGCTGACCAGAGCCCCCCCCCCCCCCACAGGGACATTCACCTGCTTTGGCCAAAGTCAGACAGAAGTCTGGGGAGAGGCAGAGGCTCCCAGAGCAGGAGCAGGCAGAGGAAGGGTTTAGAGCAGATCCAGGAGCACAACAGCAAAGGGCCAGGAGACGCTCGACAACAGGGAATTAGTTCAAAAGAGAAAACAACACTCACTTGTTTCTTAAGCCCAACTCTCCCGTTCTCACGGTGCCAACCCTCATACCTCGTGTCTCCTAGGCCAGCACTCGACCGCTGAGCTACATCCCTGGTCCTGACCCCAAGGGCTGTGTGGAATTCTCCCAACACCTATCTCCTCCCTTACACTGAAAGTTTCACCATCAATGTCCTATGAGTGCCAGCTCCAGGTGACAAGGCCGCACGGGCCGCCCGGCAGAGACGCAGGGGAGACACCGCTCCTCAGGCAACGTCCTTCGCTACGCAGGGCTTCTGCCAAGATGAGGAAAGCAGCACAGCCATGTCCCTGAGCGAAACTGTAGCCAGCTTCTCCGGGCCTGCCTCAGGGTCCGATCTACAATCCCACCCTGCATTTGGCCTTCTTCAATTTTTAACTTACTATAAAAAAAAAAGACATTTAAGGCTATCCAAGTTGGAGCTACATGTAAATGATTTCGCATTTTTGGAGAACTTTGCTTTGAAAAATCTTCTCCCTATTCGAGTTAGACGAGTGTAATTTAGGTTTACTAAGGCCTAGATTTATTAATTTCTCTTCATAACCCACCCTGGACCAGAAATCCACGCATCCAGGCTTTGCCAGAAATTGGACTAATCTGGAGAGCTTTCTTAGGCGGTGGCACTCCACACACGCAATCCTGGTTTTTCTACTGTGCATTTTCCTGGCTTTCTTCAGCCAGGTGACTTTTACACCCAGAAGACAACGTCTCCAGGCGGCATGTTGTGCGTGGCCGCTGTGTTCACTGACGGCTCCCGTCACAGAGCATGCGCAACCCCTGCTGCGGTCGGTGCACCTCTGGAGAGGTCCCTCGCTTTGTGTTCTGGTGTCAGCGTTCTGGAGAGGCAGCCATTTAAAATGCATTGAGTTACCGACACCAACGGCTTCCTGGCTCCTCCCTGTGGGAATTTCCCATCTACGTCCTTGTGACGGGACTCTGCAGACTCTCCTTCAGACACACCAGGGCTCTGTCTCACCTGGAGCTCGGCCACATGATCTGCTCTGAAGAGCGAATGGCAATTCTACTGTGAGGCTTTATGAGGCACCACAGGAGCCGGGCACCGGTGGCTCACGCCTGTCATCCTAGCTACTCAGGAGGCTGAGATCTAAGGATCGCGGTTCAAAGCCAGCCCAGACAGGAAAGTCTGTGAAACTCTGATCTCCAACAAACCACCAGAAAACTGGAAGTGGCGCTGTGGCTCAAGTGGTAGAGCGCGCTCGCTTTGAGCTGAAGTGCTGAGGGATGGCGCTCAGGCCCAGAGTTTAAACCCCATGGCAGGGAGGGAGGGAGGGAGGGAGGGAGGGACATCACAGGAATCTACTTGTGCAGACACATCAGATGCACCCTGAAAAATTCTTGCCCCAAATCACCCCTGGGTCTTCAGCCTAGGCCCTGTCACTAAGGTTAACACTCATAGCGGATGGAAACTGGCCGAAGCCTCAGGCCGGGCCCTGGGGGCCAGCTGGTCAGCTGTGTGGCCAGGCGCAACCCAGTAAGCTGTTGTACACCATGGGAGGAGCCGGGGAGGCAGAGCGCCTCTCCCTGGCTCCAGCTCACCTCCAGGCGTCAGTTCGAAGTGCGGCCTCCCCTCGTCCGTGGATAGGAGGGTGGCCAGCTTTCCTTCGATCATCTCTCCGTCGATGAACTTGCCGTAGAGTGCCGTCCTCTCGTCGGGGTACACGTAGGCTATCTTCTCCCCCGTCATCTCCCCGTCCTCGTTGACCTCTCCCACGAGGCTGCCTCCGTCCTGCCGGGAGAGCCCCAAATACTCTGCACCCAGAAAATATTCTACACGTTCATCTCTAGTGCAAGAGCCTCTCCCTGCTACCTGCGCGCTGCGGTGTGACAATAACAGCGCTCTGTGAGGCTGTCTTCCAGGGCCTTACTTCCAAAACGAGTTATGATTTTTTTTTTATTATAAACTTCGCCTCGTAGTCTGAGGGGAGCCACGGGGGGGGGGATCACTGCATTTACCTTTCCTGATTCCCAGGCCATAAAACCTTCTGCTCTCTCGCTCCCCCTGGTGGAGAGTGGAGCATTCGGGACTTAGATGAGAGGCAGGCTGCTACCCGCTGACGCCTTTACTCAGGCGGGTGAGCGTTCACAAGATCAGGGTTGCTCCAGTTACTCTGCCTTATTTTTTGCTCACCCTCTCCTGAGTCCTGAGGACCAGCAGCACCCACAGACTGCTGCCCCAGCTCCCCTCTCTGCAGGGAGCTGGTCCCTGTGGCTTCCTACCCGCCCCTGCAGTAACACAACAAGCCCCTCCATTGGGACCCCCCCCCCCATGTCTCTTCCTTATGGATTCTTGAATCCAGACAGCTGGCTCTCCCTGCCCACAAAGACCATACTCAATGCAAGGATGAGCAATCAATTTAGATAGCAGGATCAACAAACACTGGTGCAGTACAGTTTGGGAGCGGCTGGATACAATCTTTCCTATGAGAACTAAATAATAAAATTATTAATAACGGTTGCCACGTCTCCATCTCGTTTTCTAGGCTGAAGGAATTAAAGGCCATGTCTTCCTGCTGCTGTTTTTCTTTTCTTTCCTTTCACAATACATCTAACTTGTCTCAATCATGATAAAATCATATTGTTTTCTTTTTTTCAAAATGAGTGTAAATAATAGCAGCGATGAGACCAACAGTGTAAATCAGTAGTAAATAATGAGGGAAGCGTGCCCTGTACATCCTGCTTCAGAGACGGGCTCTCAGGTTGCACAGCTTCCCAGGTTGTAGCACAGAGAACATATTTCGCTATCATTATTATTAATTAATTAGCTATATCTATAGCTATATCTTTATGTTGGCCATGGGGCTTGAACTCAGGGCCTGGGCACCGTCCTTCAGCTCTTCAGCACTCTACCACCTGATCCACAGCTCCACTTCTGGTTTTCTGAGTGGTTAATTGGAGAGAAGAGCCTCACAGACTTTCCTGCCCGGCCTGGCTTTGAACCGTGACCCTCAGAGCTCAGCCTCCTGAGTAGCAAGGATGCCGGCTCAGGCGTTGCTCCTCTGCACAGCACGCTTACCGGGAAGAAGACCCAGCACACGCCGTGGCGCACGTTGTCCTTGTACTGCCCTTTGAAGATGAGTCTGCCGTCGGGGTCGCACTCCTGCGCCGGGCCGTTCAGCTCCCCGTCCACGTAGGAGCCCTGCAGCACACCCCCGTCCTCGTAGGTGTAGACGCCCTGGCCCTGCAGGGCGTCGTCCACGTAGAAGCCCTCCAGGGTGCTGTGAGAGGGAGAGGGAGAGGGAGCATGTCAGAAGAGACTCAACACAGCCATGTCTGGGATAAACCCGTCACACACAGCACGCAGCGATCCTAGGGTTCCGCTGCTTATTTGAAATTCCATCTGAACTGGTGTCTTGGATTTTTATTTGTGGATCCCAGCAAGCCTACCTGCTTTTTCTTTTTCTTTTATTTTGAAAGTATGGGCTGGGAAGGCAGCTTTGTGGTAGAGTGCTTGTGGAGCATGCATGAAGCTCTGGGTTCGATTCCTCAGTACCACATACAAAGAAAAAGCCAGAAGTGGAGCTGTGGCTCAAGTGGTAGAGTGCTAGCCTTGAGCAAAAGCTCAGGGACAGTGCCCAGGCCCTGAGGTCAAACCCCAGGACTGGCCAAACAAAATTTAAAAGTAGTATTGGATGCTAAACTTGGGAGACAAGTGCTCTGCCAGTGGAGCTACGCCCCCAGGTGAGGTTTAAATGGGAGCTTATGCTTTCTCCTCTTCATCACCACCACCATCACCACTACCCACCACCATCACCATCACCACCATTACCACCATCACCATTACCACCACCACTACCCACCACCATCACTACCATCATCATCATCACCACCACCACCACCATCACTACCACCATCACCACCATCACCACCATTACCACCACTATCACCACCACCATCACCACCACCACCATCACCACCACCACCACCACCATCATCACCACCATCACCACCATCACACACCACCACCATCACCACCACCATCATCACACACCACCACCATCACCACCACCATCATCACCATCATCACCACCATCACCACCACCATCATCACCATCATCACCACCGTCATCATCATCATCACCATCATCACCACCATCATCACCACCATCACCACATCACCACCATCACCACCGTCATCATCATCATCATCATCACCATCACCATCACCACCACCATCATCACCATCATCACCACCATCATCACCATCATCATCACCACCATCACCATCACCATCACCACCACCATCACCACCACCATCACCACCATTACCATCACCACCACCATCACCATCACCACCACTATCACCACCATCACCATCACCACCACCACCATCATCACACACCACCACCATCATCACCACCATCATCACCACCATCATCACCATCACACACCACCACCATCACCACCACCATCATCACCATCATCATCACCATCATCACCAACATCATCACCACCATCACCACCACCATCATCACCACCATCACCACCATCATCATCATCACCACCATCATCATCATCACCATCACCACCATCATCATCATCACCATCACCACCATCATCACCATCACCACCATCACCATCACCACCATCACCATCACCACCACCATCATCACCACCATCATCACCACTATCACCACCACCACCACCATCACCATCACCATCACCATCATCACCACCATCACCATCATCATCACCACCACCATCACCACCACCACCATCACCACCATCACCATCACCACCACCATCATCACCACCATCACCACCATCATCACCATCATCATCACCACCACCATCACCATCATCACCACCATCACCATCACCACCACCACCATCACCACCATCATCACCACCATCACCACCATCATCACCATCATCATCACCACCATCATCACCATCATCATCACCACCATCATCACCATCACCATCATCACCACCATCACCATCACCATCACCACCACCATCATCACCATCATCACCACCATCATCACCATCATCATCACCACCATCACCACCATCATCACCACCATCATCACCACCATCATCACCACCATCATCACCATCACCACCACCATCAATCATCACCACCATCATCACCATCATCATCATCACCATCATCATCACCACCATCACCACCATCATCACCACCATCATCACCACCATCATCACCACCATCATCACCATCACCACCACCATCACCATCATCACCATCATCACCACCATCATCACCATCATCATCACCACCATCATCACCATCATCATCATCACCACCACCATCACCACCATCATCATCACCACCATCACCATCACCACCATCACCACCATCATCATCACCACCATCACCACCATCATCATCACCACCATCACCACCATCATCATCACCACCATCACCACCGTCATCACCACCATCACCATTATCCACCACCATCACCATCACCATCATCACCATCACTATCGTGATCACATCATTGTGATCACCATCCTCAAATCCACTGTTTTCCTAAAGTCCTTTTCAATATTCTTTAGCAGCTTAAGAAATTACAAAAATGGTCTTTCAGTGGTTGATTTTTCTGGCCTCAGCATCTAAATCAAACAACTGGAAAATGTAGAGGAAATTTAAACATCTTTTTTTTTTTTTTTGTCAGTCGTGGGGCTTGAACTTTGAGCCTGGGCGCTGTCCCAGCTCTTCAGCTTAAGGCAAGCGCTCTGCCACTTGAGCCACAGTGCCACTTCTGGTTTTCCGGTGGTTTACTGGAGGTAGGAGTTTCATAGCCTGGCTGTCTTTGAACCGCGATCCTCAGATCTCAGCCTCCTGAGTAGTTAGGATGACAGGCGTGAGCCACCGGCGCCCGGCTAAACATCAATTTTGATTAACTATTTTCCTCTGTACTACATGCACTGGCCAATTTAACCTGCTTTACTGGAACTTTTTTTTTTTTGCATGGGGCTTGAACTCTGGGCCTGGGCACTGTCCCTCAGCTCTTCAGCTCAAGGCTAGCGCTCTACCACTTGAGCCACAGTGCCACTTTCGGCTTTTTCTGCTTCTGTGGTGCTGAGGAATCGAACCCAGGGCCTCATGCATGTGAGGCAGGCACTCTACCACTGAGCCACCTTCCCAGCCCCTTAATAGAGCTTTTATAGAGTTAAGTTTCCAGTAATAAATTAAACTAAGAAATCTAACTTACAAAGAAATGGAGAAATTTTACAATTGCTAAACATATCCTAAATACACTAAATATTTTACGAATGCACTGCAATTTACTCATATACTACTGCATTTTCAGTCAAAAAGTCATGTCAGTATCCACCTACACAAGAGTTACTAGGGACTTGGTGCTGGCTTTTCTCATGGCTGAGGAATGCTTTTGTCTAGGATATAATTGCATTTCCTTCCTTCCAAGAGGAAAGCTTGAAAAGGAATCACAATTCAACTTTAAATCCCCATCTCTAGCCTGATTCTCAGTGTTCAAACTGTTTTTGAAAATATTTTTATGACAATATATATTTTCTCTTAAAATATTACAAACTCAAGCAGCACACAGCTCAACCCATCTGTTAGAGATGCGAGCGTCAGCATATATTTCCTCTTAACTATGTAGACCCCAAGTCACAGAAAGATGTTTGCTCAAAGGATAGTTAGTGAAATTCAGTTTTGCTCTAGGATTAAACCAAACTGAAAAAAACTCGAAAAAGTGAAACACCTATGAGACATTCACACACCACACACCGCCATCCACACACCACACACCACACACCCGCCATTCATACACCACACACACCACACTCCGCCATCCACACACCACACACACCACACACAGCCATCCACGTACCACACACACCACACACCGCCATCCACACACCATCCACACACCACACACAGCCATCCACACACCACACACACCATACACCGCCATCCACACACACCACACACCGCCATCCACACACCACACACCACACACAGCCATCCACACACCACACACCACACACAGCCATCCACACACCACACAC